CCCCAAAACCCCAAAACCCCAAAACCCCAAAACCCCTTCAGTTTGAGTAACGAGCAATAATTTAAAAATATGAGAAATGAATTTAAATTTATAAATTTTAAAATAGGAATTCTCTATTTATTTCATTCATTCTTAGAAGATAGAGAGAGATAATAAATGATGATGGAACATAACCAAACGACTTAAGTTCATTCATAATAGCTGTAGATGCAGCAAAACGCACAAATGCAAATCATCAAAAATAAGTAGTAATAACAGTAAACTCAATAAAATCAGAGAAAAGCCAGCAATAATTAGGCAAAGGCAAGTTCAAATGGATACTAAAGTGCAAAAGATAGCAATTAAGGCAGTCAAACACTTCAAAAGTTCAAGGAGAATCAGAGTGAGGTTCAAGACTAGCTCAACTAGCTCATGCACAAATACACATCAATTCCTCAGAAATCCATGAAATCAGAATCTAATGCTCCTAGTACAGGTCACAACTCAGATAAAAACTCATTTCAAAATATCAATACAAATAGCAATAATAATCATCTAAATCACCATATAACTCAGCAATAAACTATAGGCAATCAAGCTAAACATGTGAAAAACAATAAATCTCAGAGTAAGTCTCAATTATTTTAACTAATCAATCGTTTATAGGGGCTTAGCATTTTTCTTAGATTGAGAAGCCAAATGACTTACATTTAAGGATGAGTTGCTTTGGTATTCCTTAGGAAACTGAGGCAGAGGACTATGATAATCTTGAGTAATTTGCAAATGACTATTTTTACGAGGAAAACGACATCCCTCTGCCTTTGACTTTTCATAATCAGGCTTAGTAGCAGATTTTAAGCAACCAAAAGCAAGGCTCTGGATTAAGCAATTATAAAAGCAACGATGTGAATAGTTATATCTAGCCTTAGTTGTCTAAATCACCAAATCCAATATTGGTAAATAGCAATATGATAAGCACACCTACTTCAATAATTGATGTAAAATCTTCTCAGCCTAATCCTATGCAAATACTTAATCAGTTCAATCTACAGTAAAATCATAGAAATCCAACATAACCATTGAGTCTTGGCTATCTGTCACACCACATATAAAATTTCGATACATAACCGCTGCTCAGAGATAAAAAGAAATCTATATCGACGGCTACTTCTAATTCGACCAATGGGACTTTCACTAACTTAACTGGTTCAAATTAAAATCATAAGAGATAAAGTGGTTTTAATGGCATGTCCGAAAAGGTTTAGAATCAAAAGGGTGACACTAATAGTCAATAGAACTCTAGCAAAGAGCCTCATAAGAAGTCTCAAAGTCTTTATAATAAGAAAATAGTTGATATTATTACTGGTTTATAGCAATCACTTGGAGTAATCGCCAATAATGTACAAAATAGTTTTAACCATGAGGACATTTAATCTAAATAACAGCAGTAAAAGACTCTACTAGAATCGGCTTTACTTGCCTAAAAATTAGCATAAATGACATAGGGTTTTAGAAAAGAGAGTGCTCATGATAAAAAGAGTCAAGAGGTTAATGGCTTGACAAATAACATTGGTACTTTCAACATGAAAACCGGTAAAATTTCTGATGCAAACAATACAAAACGGAAATCTATGAAAATTCAAAGTAACTTATCTGGCAGGGGATCTCTTAATGTAGTTCAAAAGCACAAAGCAGGGTTTAAAACATTGGAAGATGCTTAGCAAGATGGTAAAAAGCAGTCTAACAACTCAAACAGAATGTCCATTGATTTCTAGCAGCCAATGCGTAAGATGTAGAGCAAGGTGGTGCACCAAAGAAACAGATCAGATCTTTAGAATCCTAGGAAAAATCTAGTCTAAGCAGTTATTCTAAGTGCTAATCAAATTGTAGCTTCAGGAAATCATACCAAACAGAACACTCTGCTAACTTGCTCAAATTCATCTATAGAGGGTAACCCTTTGAACAGTCAACATCACATCAATCAAATAGTTTAAGACGATTTAATACTAACTTAGCAAACAGCCAATCATGGCCTGCCAAGTTCAGCAAAAAGTCTAAACCGCATAAATCAAGCTATAAATAAACAAGCAATAATTCAATCATGTTCTAATGCCACTAAAAGCTCAAAGAAAAGCGAGATATGTGGCTCAATAGATAATACAACGATGAGCGATGCAATATTTGCTAAGTATAAGAGTGCTATGACTGGCCCATAATCCAGTGGACAGCAAAGTATGGTTGCAAACACCATGGAAATCCCAAGACAATCTCTAGGCTAGTTACCTCAGTTTCACAGATCTAACACAAACCAGTTTAGCTCAAACGAGAGACTGTCTGAAGCCAATAATCAGCATAAGACTACAAAGTTAGTGATATCGAATGGGGATTCCTTGGACAACTATGAAGTCAAGCTTAAAAGTGCTGCTTCTTCTCCCACTCTGCATGGATCTTAGAATCAAATACCAATTAGTACTAATCAAATTAAAAGGAAGTATCATCAATAATCATAGTCTAACACTGTCTTCGATTTTGGAATCAATCAAAACAAGATTAATTAGATGGGATAGGGATCAGGATTAGTGATACCAGCCTCTACAATAATTCAACCTGATAAAGTTAAGCCTGTTAATAACACTAAGAAGAAAAACCTTATAGTAGGAGGTGGTTCTAAGAAAGATAATGCAGCTAACTCAAAGTCTGAGTAAAACACTAACTCTAATAGCAATAACAATACAGGCACCAATCATAAACGCTCAACTTCAGATGGCTCATCACTCACCAAGATGTTTCACTTCAAGCAGCAGATGCTTATTAATAAGATCTTCTAGCAGTAGAACTCAAAAGAGAACATCATACCATCTACTGCTGTTGCAGCTGTATAGAATACATAGCACCAAAAAACTAAAGGTTCAGATGTCAATGGAACTTAGAGTAAAAAGCAAAGAGCGAGCATGAGTAAGAATCATCATCCTCAGGATCAGTAGCAGCAGTAAAAAGGAGCTAAGAAGAGTAAGGTCTAGGTAATCAGTAGTTTGTCCTCCAAAAGACTGTCAAATGAAGAGAATCAAGAGAATATGATTAACAACATCAATCTGCACAGTCCAAGAACACAACAATAGCAACTGAAGAATCTGGGAAAAATGATCCCTACTAAACTTATAACAAATGCTCCTGAGTTTGATGTTAAGATATCGTAAGATATGAAAGCCTTTCTCCAGAAGTTCAAGGATAAGACTAATGTTGTCAATCCACTAGGATTAAGTAGTGGAGCTGTGTAATATGACTCTTAGCAATAAAAATAACTGCTGATCTAAGCAATAACTCAGCAATAAAATTAAGCACTGTTGAAGTAAAGTCTGGATGATGTTTCATATATGACTCAAAAGACAAGCAACAAACAATCAGATCAAAATTATGGACTCTCAAAACAAAATACCAATACTCAGAAACTATAGGATAGCACTTCATATCATTAAAATGAAAATACCTAGAATAAGCGCTAATCAATGCAATAATAGCAATAACTGTCATCTAAAAACTCAAACAAAATGGGTTAAAGCCACAAAAGAGCAAAGTCTGATGCTTAGAAACAATTTTACTCATAGTAGAATCAATAATAGCGAGCCTAGAATATCATCATCTAAGCTAACTAAGCTAGTAGCAATCATCCACAAGGAAAATAATAAAAAATGTTCTTTTTAAATCTTAATTAGCAATAGCAATAGTTGTGCAAAGAGGATTATGGCTAGGTTATGACTTCTCAACAGATGTAGTAGTAGTAATAATAATAACATCAGTAATTGCAATAATTGCAAGGATAGAATACTAAAAACAATTATGAAAATTATCAGTTGATATATGGGAATTCATAGTAAAATAACTTCATCTACAGTGCTCGAGCCTCTCCATCAAGTAAAATCAACTATTACAACTTTGATGAGAGCTAGCGTAACATTGGCAGCACTATAACAAAACCTTTCCTACCTACAGCCAGAAGTGAGACTTCAGCAAAGCAGACAAAAAATGCTATGAGCAACTAGACTACTCAGAAAAAGAACACCTATCATTAGAACGCAAATAATAACTTCATTGCTAATTAGTAGCTTTAACAGACTGCTAATGCTAATCATAACAGACTGATAGAAAGTGTAAACACCAAGCTAGTATATAATGATTAAAATCTTGATTAATTATTCCTCGGCGGTGGTAATAAGTATTTAGGTGGCAGTGCTGTAAACATTTTACAGTCACAGTAGTTTAACAAGTTAGCTAGCATCTTATATGGAGATGGTAATAATGCTAACAACAACCTTATTACCTATTCAAATCCTAATAAAAATAATCATGCTAACAATAACAATGAAGTGCTGTACTCTACCCTTGATGATAATGAGAGTCTGATATTTAACAGCAACCATTTGAATATGAACTTCAATAATAACAGCAACAGCAATAATATGTTTGGGCAAGCTGACTTAAGTCTGCAAATAATTAATAAGAAATTGATTGGAAGTGACAAGTCACTCAGGAATCTTGAGATGTAGTCTCATAATTAGTCCCCAAAAATGAAGGTAATGCCTACACCTAAATTAGTACAACCTGGTGGAGTATAGATCTCTAATTTCAATCAATACGAAGATATCTAATTCCAAAACTAATAAGTTAGCACTATCTAGTCACAGCAATAAGCCTATTCAACTTATCAGCATTAAACATATGAAATGAATCAATTAAATGCTAAGTAGAACAATTTAGACAGAATGATATAAAATCAAGCGGCCCTTGCCAGTAATTACAACACTAACCCAAATCCAAATAAATGTGAGTTTGATGGCAATCAATTCTAGACTTTTGAGTCTAATCTGACTACTCACACAATGAATAATATGACACCAAGAGCAAGGGACAAGCATCGTCTTGTCAAGTAGATTAAGTTATCTTTTAATAAGCTTAAGGAGCCAATCAAAACCTCTTCAGACTTTTATAGAATCGGTAAGATGCTTGGAAAGGGAGCGTTTGGCAGAGTGAACCTTGCCATCCATAAACTTTGCAATCATCTAGTGGCAGTTAAATCTATCAACAAGTAATTCCTCTCAGAGGATGAAAACTCTAAGAAAAAGATGATGCAGGAGGTACTCATTTTACAAAAGACTAGACATGACAATCTAGTCCGGCTATATGACTCATTCGAGACTAATAAGCATATAGTTTTTGTAATGGAACTTTGTGCTGGAGGTGATCTACTTAACTATGTCAGAAAGAGAAGAAAGCTTAAGGAAAATATTGCCAAGTATGTATTTAAGCAAGTAGTTGATGGTCTACACTATTGTCATTCCAAAGGCATAGTACACAGAGACATGAAACTAGATAATTTGCTGTTTGATGAACAAGGAGTTGTGAAGATTTGTGACTTTGGTGTCTCAAAATTGTTATCATCTTCTTAGGAGATAATGACAGAGCAATGTGGCACACCAGCATACATCGCTCCAGAGATTTTAAAAGACAAAGGCTATAAGGGATTTGGAGTTGATATTTGGTCACTCGGAGTGTGTTTATATGCAATGCTATTCGGAACAGTACCATTTAAAGCCAATAATATGAGTGAGCTGCACCAACTTATTCTCAAAGCGAAGTATTCAATGAAAGAAGAATTGAAACCAGGTGAATTACCACTCAGTGAAGATGTCAAATCTCTCTTGAAATCGTTATTAGAGCCAAGCCCTGATAAGAGAATAACGATTGAGGGAATTCAGTAGCATCAATGGCTTCTGGAAATAAGTGACCAATAAGACATCGAGATCTTTACTTAGTAAGAATTGGAGACTATAAGAAAGGACTTTACTTATCAGGATATGAGTAGATATCAAAGAAACAAGTTGCTTAAAATGAAGATTGAAAAGTAAAACTAGGAGAACGGAGGAGCTAACGGATGTGGTGCAGGCGGTATTGTGACGACTGAAGAGAACCTGTTTACTGAGCATGCACTAGATAGCACCTAAAATGTCTTAATGAGAAATTGCACAACTAAGTCTGTCATTTTAGCTCCTTTCAACAGCACCAGGACTCATCTAGTTAGAGAGGATTTAGAAGGTGAGGAATTGGAAGAAAATCTAGACGATAGCAGAGCAAACATTCCACCTTTAGAGATTGATCAGGCAATGATGGCTGATAAGAGAGTGATCAAGTATGCTCCAAGGGTAAAAGACATCAACAGATAGTACGAGATGAATAACAACTGCGAGTTGGACAATGGTGTTTACAATAAGTTTGTCAAGCAGTCAACTAATGGTGAAGATAAAAGTGAAAATGACCAAGACAAGTCTGAAAATTCATTAGTTACTTCAATGAATGGAGAAGGTGACTTGCTAGGAGGAAGATAGAACGAGTATGTGGCTCCATTAGTGTCTTAAAATTCAGATGAAGAAGTCGAAGCTGAGTTAATCAAGAGAAACCAAGCTTAGTGTAAATCAGAACTACAGTAAATGTAGACATTCCTGCAGAAACAAAAGACTGAGTTCAAGCAGGTGCCTGATGAGCCGATCCTGATTGACTATGAAGTAGTGGAAAGGGTTGAAGTCTTTGGCTATCCCAGATAGTTTATCATTGATAGTATTGAGAAATACGATATGAACGATGCCGCTACGAACTATTATCTTTTAGATAAGGAGAAACAACAAATTGAAGACTTCCAAGGCTACCTCCAATGAGTGCATTCAGAATACACATTGAATCGATATATTGTGATGAGTATATAAATAAGTAGAGAAAATATTCGTTAGTTAAATCACATCAAGAGCAGGCTAGTAAGTGAGAGTGGAGGATTTGTTTAAGTATAAATCACTCTGAGTCACTTGCTTCTTGCTCACGGATATTTTAATTAATATTTGTTGTTATTACTAATACTTTTATTTGAATGAACTATAATTATTTAGGGGTTTTGGGGTTTTGGGGTTTTGGGG